TTGCTGATGCGGGGGCAGAGGTTGAGACGTGGGTGGCGCGTGGTGACGGAGTCGCTAGCTCGGGGGGAACCAAGCCCAAGAGGGACAGAGACAGGAGAGTGGGACCAAGTGGGCGGTGGGAGGGAGGGGGTCGGGATGGTTGCTGCTGGCGGTGCAGGGTTGAATATCAACCCACGCGGTCGTCCCGGACGTGCACCGGGGCTAGTTCTGTTTCGCCTGAACTCGCGTAACCACGCGGTCGACGACGCGCGCTCGTTGCATAAACACGGTGCCCACGAAAAATACGCGTAGACGCTTTCCGCACGCGAACGGCACACGCGCACGCGAAAGGCCGACTGCGACGGGAGGTGACGGATAATAGAAGCGCGTTGACGATCACGCGCGGTAGATCGCGCTGAATCGGACGATCAACGAGCATCGTCGGCGGCGACGTTGACGTCGTGCCAACGCGTCGTACGACGATCGCGCGCGCGTTACGTTACAATGTGCCGCCGCGGCCACTGCACATCGGGCTGCATCGATTTTTCGACGCGCTTGCAAACACGACTGATACCAATGACCCTCGACCTACGGCTGGTCTAAAGGTCAAAGACTGCCTTTGGCCACGAGTCGAGTCCGCTTTGACGATCGGGAGTGCGGTCGAATCGGGTGGGAACAGCGTGGAACGTAGGGAAAAAGGGAGAGACGGAAAAGTGGATCAGCGAGAATCCCGACGATCGAGAGGATGCCGCGCGCGGACAACACGCGTGCCGGTCTTTCGACGAGAATGTACGCTCGTGCGGCTGATGCCGTGACCCACGGTCTCGCGGAATCATTGATCTTCCTTGGCCGCCGCCGCCGCCGCACGTGAACGTCACACAGTTCAACGAATGTACGACGCAATTACCCTGGTGACGCCGCTGCCACTGCTCGCGAGCGACGCGAGCGGATGCGAGATGATCACTCGTGAAAGCACGGATTTTTATGTCCCGATCGATATACTCTATCGATATCTTTCAAGACTCTCTGTTGTGGCAGATTGGAGCAATTTATTTTTTCACGCAATTATGATTGTTATACCAAATCACTCGCAATAGAGACATACGATACAATCGCTCTGATAAAAAAATAACGTGAATCAACGTGAGAATGTTTTTAAAGTTAACATCTTTTCGCGACGAGCGAAATTGATGCAATTTATCACCGCGATAGTAAATACACTCTGTAAAGGATACTACGTCGACCCGCAGAAAGACGATATCCGCGTACATCACAGAAATGGGAAACGATGGCCGATCAAAGCAACGTTATACCACTTGATCCACAACGGTCCCGAGCGATTTTTGTGCATCGCGGGCGAGAAGTAGTGACGTTTTTACTTTAGTCGGACGGCCTATCTACACACACACTAAGAGCAACGAGTTCATACTTCCTATGCAAAATGATGTTGCTAAAATTATAGAGAATATAAGAAAAGTGCACATCAGAATAATTACAGTTGTAGTCTAATTTTGCAACATCAATCAAGATTTTTCGATAATCTTGACGTCAATTTACCGAGAGCACAATCGTTTATACGCTTCAAGAGTAACATATTTTCGAATATATATATATATTATATTAGTTAAAAGAAACGAGCATATCATCACCCAAAAGCCAGATTCTATTTTCACGTGCCAATACACAATATCGATTGAAAAATAATAGAAAAAAATTAAATGAGCTCAAAGTAATCCTACGATATATTCTTATTTATGTAACAACACAAGAATAAAGCAAATGCTTTTTTTATGATTTATACGAATATATACGAGATAAAGGACATATATGCAACAATTTCTATAATATCGAAGACAATCCATGTAAGAAAAGCAGGAGACAATATGTTGAAAAATTATTGCCACAATTCACACATGACAAATAAGCAGTATCAAATTTAATTGTTGATAATATATTATACGTGTGCATATCTCCATAATTATAAATAAAAATGTTTCCTCTGGGAAGTAATGTCTCCGTCGCCACTAACCTTCATTGGAACCGACAAGACGGAAATTCACCAATGATTGTGGATTTAACAGCTTTATACAGGATGCAGAGAAACAGTTTTCTGCCCTACTTGTCTACGTATCATCCCTATAATAATTTTTCAATGGCGTCTTATCCGAATTACTTCCACTTCCGGCACTACTTTAGAACGCAGCATATGATCGATCCCTATTCCACCTTCGATTATTACAAGTGCTTGGACGTGAAGAACTTGCACGCGTCGCTCTTCGGTAAACATAGCATTTATTATCCAAGTTTCATGTTTGTGAACTATATTGTATGCTTGGTAATATATCGAACATCTCATCGTACTTTATCTGTTTCATCTATAAAATGATAAATTTGGTCTCCAATTGTACTTAGTGAAAATAATTGCAAGAAATTCTACAGCTTATTGTAGTTCGTTATTTTCAAAAATTTTATTTTATAAATTTTAATTAATTGGACAAAAATTCTATTGAAGATCTTTTCATATTAATTGTCCAAATACTTTTATAATAATTAATTTAAATTTCTTTTCAGAGAAATTATAGTCAGAAAAGATAAAAGATTTGTTGCAATAAAATTACATGCTAAAATTCAATTTAAATTAACCTAAAAATTTTTTGTTTCTTATTTGTTTCGAGAACTACTTTATTTGAATATAATATATTAAATGGCTTTAGCGAGTCATTGCTGGTTGTTGATGAGAAAATCTTATATTTCATATAGAAACTTTTACTCGTCTACATTGAGACATATTAAAGTGTACACCGATCTCACAATCAGATTCGAGATACATAGAGTGTACGAAAATTAAGTACATTGTTCTCATTTTCGGAAAATTAGAATGTACCAGTTATATTTTATTTTGTATCGCTTATAAAGTAGAATTGATATGACTTTCTCGTCGAAGAATTGATTCCAAATTGAGAAATTCAAGAATTGAAAAAAATAAGTGAAAAGAAGGCATGTGAACGTGATAGCATGCTTTATATAACTTTGTAATATATGTATATTTTTATATATTTCATATATTTATAATATATGTATATGTACAGTATTTTTAAATTTGTTATATCTTTTTTTCTATATCTTTAAAAATTCAGCTATCAATACAAAGCATCAATATCATATTTTGTAATAGATAATCTTCAATCATTCTATTGGCGTGCTATATGCACATCATTTACGCATCATTACGGAGCATTGACATCAGATTGTCAGTCTGATGGATGAGTATGTGACGAAGCAAAATATAATTGCTAGAAAAGCGACAATCATTAGACTGTTTCGACGAGATTAAGATAGAGATGCGATTCGATTTTTTTCTACTTGCCGGCTACGCGAGATAATCCATCTTATTTTGCGATATCGAAGCATTAAAAGTGAATAAATAATCCGCTCGATCAACGTCCACGGTGATCGACCTATTAATAGCTTGGAAACTGCCACCTAAGTACCCGCAATCACAGATTGGCCTTGTCAACTGCATTCCTTCCTTGACCTACACGAGCAACCACACTCCCCACATCCTTTTCGCGGCAAGCAAGAAAACACTTCAAGCAATCAAGCATTATATTCTTACATCGTTCCGTAGTGTATAATTTTTTCCCGATTTATACGTATTCGTGTATGATTGAAACAAATCATAAACTTATTCAAAATAGAATACAAAATAAAAAAATTTTATATCTTTTTTAGAAAAAATTTGAATTCATAATTATTTAATCGATTTTACAATAATCATGAGACTAATGTATTGTAGAATAGTTAAATTTATTTTTACTTGGTCAGTTAGACTTTTTAGCAGAATATTTTTATTTGTTTGTCGAGTAATTTTATATGATACCTTCAAGATTACTTTACGTTACACGTGCTATCTTGGTGTACCTTTCCACACCGCGGGGTACAATGCAGCGTTAAAAACGCATTGAAAGCAAACGGGCACTTTAATGGCTCTCGTTCGACGCTCTCTTCTAACGTAGTTAGTTACAACTTATCGCAATTTTCCTATTACGGGGGGGCATAATGTTTTCCACGATAAAAGAAAACATTACTTCTTTCGGGTTAAAGTCGCTTTAAAAGTAAGAGAAATCCACTTTGGAATTATTTCTCTTACTAATATGCATAACTTTCGATCGTAATTATTATTTGTAAGAATATTTATTGTCACTCGGATATTGTTAATTATTTTTAGTTTTATTATTGATTCTCGTTGGATAAATTTGGTATTTGTGCTCCATCATCGTGGCAAAAAAATGTATTTAAATTGAAAAATTTATAGATTTATTTCGATTGTGTAACCATTTTATCGTGTCGTGTACTATTCCTTGCATAAAACAGTAATTAATCAATGTACTTGTTGCGATTTCATATATTAAAAATTCGTGAATTTATTCGTTACGTTAACCATATATCGTTGCCCAACCCGATAACGATATTTCGAACTCTTGCGAAAAGGCTACGAGTGAGATAATTAAGTCGTAAATAAATGTGCAGAACAACAATAAGAAAGCGTTTAAATTTATTGAAGTCGCGGCGCGATTGTTCGAGCGAAACTACGAAATGTCTCCGGAAACTTATCGAACTTTGGGGAGTTTGGAAAACTTGCAAAAGCGAGAGATCGACTGCGCACTGAGAGACAAACACTATCAATCTTTTTAGACACTATTTTTTTTAGACATATTGACAAAAAATCATGTTAACAGCATTTAAAAAATTTAAAATTTAAATTTGTTAGATATTTATTAAAAAATCAAACATTGACCATTAAATAAACCTGTGTATTAAAATAGTTCGCAAAGAAAGTAATTGCAGGCCAAAAATAATTTTTCTAACGATAACCTTTGGTTTATTTTTAAATCAATCTACAATAAATTACAAAAAAAATGAAAATATATAATAAAAGGAAAAGACTATTTTCTATTATACATTTCTATATTTTATAATCTATCGTACTGAAAATAAACCGAAACATTTCCGTCAAAACAAATTATTTAGCAGCGTAACAACAATTAGCTCTGCAATTGCCTTCTTTCGAAGCTACTTTAAATATATTAATAATGTATACATTTTAATTGGTAAATACAGTCCTTTTGTATCTCCCATTTAGAGAACTCGAGATCTAAATATTCGAGAGAACGATTATTTCCCAACCGAGATCGATCGTGCGGTCCGCTCCTTCCAACAAATATGCAGTTATACATCGCAATAAAATGTGCTACACTAAAGTAACCGAAACAACGTGTTTATCGTGCGGAAATAACTTAAAATATCCTCCACGGAGAACAGACAATTATGGGCGCGGCAATCGCGAGGAGAGCACATCGGATTTATCACGTCTCGCGTGTGCATCAGAATCTATTATGGGAAGCGCTATTTTTATTGGATCTATTGTTGTTCGCGCATATGCACAATGCTGTATTATTGATACGTCCTGAGATTACGTAACGAGCGATTGCTTATCGAGACCGGCATAATCAAACTTAATGCGTTCTAAATTTGCCATCGATACCGTCCACAATTTCAACGACGGCAGCTCTGTCGCAGTTCTTCATTAAATTACTTCCTAAATAAAACGACGGTTCGATTATTTAATTTTTTCCTCGTTTAACTCTTTAATTGCAATAGACAATATATTTTGTCGCGAGACTGATGTATTGCGCTAAATTTATTTCTTTTAGTTGTCTTTCTGTATTTGCAATGTTTCTGTGTTTCCTCCGTATCTCTCACTTCAAATTTTTAAATACACAACTTTATTCCAAGAGTGCAGAAACGTGTAATATGATACAGAGAAGAAAAATAAGCTCGTCGTACTTACCTTTAAATTCTCGCAGAATACAGGTTTCCGGTGTCAAAGGGTTAATCCTAAAATTCGCGAACAGCAGATTCCTGGAACAAACGAAAAAAAATGTCGAAATTAACATTAGGACTTGTAAAAGGAAAAAGTTTGTGTCGTCCATTTTGGACATAAAACAAATCACGATGCAAGTTAATTCTTACATTCTATTATGTGTATCTTTCTGGATTCATGCTGGATGAACTTCTGGATTAACCACGAACGACTATCACCCATTATTCATTGAAATGTAAAACGAAGTGATGCTCAATGCATCTAGAATACCGAATGTCTAGAGATCTAGGTCGCTTCGCAAGGGAGTCCAACACGTTACGCTCCATCACAGCTCATTATCTCACCTTCATCCTCCAAGTCGCGCCTCGAGCCGCCAATTAGTCTGCGTGTGTGATCGGCGTCGTGTACGTCATTAATTTGCTCCAATTCCCCGACGCCGATTCCCCCTTAACCCGCTTCCATCCCGCTGCGCGTCTAACTTTATTATTATCGAATGCAACGCGCGCGTGCGAGTAAACGGTCGCACGTTTTTTTTTTTTCTTTTTACCATCTTTAAACCGTATCCGAGAGTGAAAAGAGAAAGAGAAAAATGTCCCGCCGCGTTGCAGACTCTCTGCAGTCTTTGGAGTATAAACGTGAGACCAACGCCTTATTTCTCAGACTCCCCGGTATCCCTCGGATCAGCAGGCTCGCCGCAGGGGAACCAGCCGGCGGACGCACCTTCACCCATAAACTTTCCTGCTCCAGGGGAGAGCATGGCCGACACCTCGACCCTGTCGCCGGAGGCCAACATGCCGAGCTCGCCGGGCTGCCCCATGATCAGAGTGACGAGCGAGTACCTGCTGGGCAGCCCGAGTCCAGGGACACCGCGAGGAGGTGACCCTCTCCGTGTTGCTGGCAGCAGTGGAGGCGGCAACGGCGGTGACGGCGGTAGCGGAAGAGGAAGCGGCCAGGAGGGTCGGGAAACGGCGTGCTCAGATCGCGCGTCACCCGACTCGGTCTTCCCAGATGCCGGTTCGATGATGAACTTCAGGGTCACCGACGAACAGCAGCAGCAGCAGCAGCAGCAGCAGCAGCAGCAGCAGCAACAGCAGCAACAGCAGCAGCAGCAACAGCAGCATCATCAACAAACACAACAGCCACAACGCTCTGCTACACCCGCGCCGATCATCAAATCGTCGCCCTATTCGCCGGTCCAAGCAGTCTCGTCAACTCCGATCAGCCAGGAGGTTACCTCGAGGAGCGATAGCCCGGATAAGTGCGATCTGTCGTCCGTCCAGACCAAGCAGGAGTCCGACAATTCTGTCTTCGACGGAGGCGGTGGTGGCGGCGGTGGCGGCGACGGCGGCGGCGGTCGTTCGGAAGCCACCAGCCAACCTAGTCACCGGAGCAGTCCGTCGTCGCAGTTCGTCAACCCGAGCCAGAGCGTCAGTCCCGGCACGATTGGAGCTGTCGGGCCGCACGGGCCCGCGCAACAGCAGCAATCCCCACCGACGCCGCCGAGACATCGCGCACCCTCGGTACCGCCGCACATGCTGACCCACCATCCTCAGTTTTGGTCGCCGAACACCACCGGCGTGCAAGGATTCGCCACGCAGAGGCTACTCAACGGCGTCATCAGCAGCGCCGTCAGCTACGGCGGACAGAACGTTACCACTATCTCCACCAGCTCTGGCAGTGGTACAAGCAGCTCTAGCAGTACCAACTCCAGTGTCAGCTGCGTTACTACCGGCGCAACTACCACGGCGACTTCATGTAAGTATTGTAATCGTATATCACGCAGGATTATACATATTATACGTTCTAAACTAACTATCCAAACGCTTTATTTAAAAGATGTTGACATTGAAACACTTTGAAGATAGGATTTTATGAAATTATTATCGGATTATAATAAATTAAGACTCTTTTATTAGGAAATAGGAAAAATATGAAAATTATAACATAATTATAAATTTGCGCAAAATTAAAAATTTTGTTCAAAGTGTTGGCCTTGAATGCGGAGACAGCCTTGGCATCTGTCTTTCGCGCCATCAAAGAACTTGTTTTCGTAATCAATATTACAAAAACCGTGTACAAACACTATATTGACATATCACTGAGAAATATGAGAAACATGAGAATATTTCTCAGTGTATTCAATGCTTGTGTGAACTGCCTAAACATGCCTAGCATTTACCCTAACAGCCTAATGAATATGTCGATATCGTGTTTGTGTGTTGTTTTTGTAATGAGAATACTATAATACAACCAGTAAATATTCCGTGCGACTACCGTGATTAAAAGATTACCATTCAAGAAAAAGGCACATGCCAAGCGTTCTAATTTTGTTCGAATTTATAATTGGTTAGAATTTTCATATTTTTTAGTAATAAAATACTTGAAAAAAAAACACTATTAATTTATTTATTATAATCAATAATAATTTCATAAAATCTTATCTTCAAAATGTTTAAATGCCAATATCTCTTATTGTCAAATAAAGCGTCTACGAACAAATCTCTGGGAGAATTTTCTTACTTATTTTGAGATTCAACATTTATGTTTTAAGTTAAAACATTTAACTCTGAAGTACTCTGTTTTTTAACTAAATCGCTCTCTTCTCTTGATCAAAAAAATTATTCGGCGACATTTTTATTAAACACATTTTCCACATTCTATTATTAATTGAACAAGATCCATTTTAGCAAAATAGAGCTGTCTTAATTTATAGGAATGTATCGATCAACATTTTTATATCAAAAATATTTACTTAGATAATAAAAGATTTTTTGTTTTTCTAAAAATTTTGATTATTCTCAATTATCACTTACTGTATAACGTCATAATGAGATATTATCATAGGATTACAAATTACAATAAATCAGAATCAGTGCAATGTAGCTTTTAAAATCATGCAATAAAATTTTGTCTTTGACTAATTATATTCCAACTGAGAACTAAACCATCAAAAATTGTTACGATATAATATCAATAAGAGAAAGATATATAGATATTTGAATGTTAAAATCACTCGTTTTAACCTTAATAAAAAGAATTATTCATTATTTTATAATAAACGTATTAGGGAAATTCTAATTGTGTAAGTTCTAGTCTGGATAAATATTCTATATAAAAAACGAACAGAAATTTGGTTGAATAACAATATTGCGAATCTAAACGCCATCTCCGCATTGTAGAGATATACATGTAAAACTTGATTATAACGATCGATTTGTCGATAATTCATTTCAGGCGATATGAAGCCACCGGCGCAGAGAGCAGCGCCGGCACCACCACGGCCCCCGCCCACGGTGCTGATGGGCGAGATCGGTGGCGTCCGTACAATGATATGGTCGGCGCCGCCGTTGGACCCGGTACCGCCGCCGGCGGCGTCGTGGACGACCACGGCGTCGGCGGCCGCCTCGTGTTCCTCATCCGAGGAGTCGGCCGCCCAGCTGCTGCTGAACCTCGGTCAGGAATCCCGAGGTAAACCACCCTCCTCTTCGTGCGCGGTGTCGTACTCGTCCACCGCCGGGCCACCGCTCAACATGGAGAGGCTATGGGCCGGCGATACGACGCAATTGCCAGCCGCGCAACAGATGCAAGCGCTGAATCTTACGGCTTCCGGTTCCGCCGGACAGCCGTGGGTGAGCAACGGTGGCACAATCGTCAAGACCGAGGCGGCTTCGCAATCCATATCGGTTGCACCACCGGCACCCCCCTTGCCGCCCCAGGAACACGAGGAAGATGAAACGCCTATGATATGCATGATTTGCGAAGATAAGGCAACCGGTTTGCATTACGGCATCATCACGTGCGAAGGGTAAATATCGTTCATCATTCTTACGAAATTATTATATTATCCTTTTGTAATACACGATACAAAGATATTACGATAACTGAGAGATTCTACTGTGTCCCATGACATAGGTATTAATTAGTTGAAAAGTTTGTATTACGTTTTTATTAATTTTAGAATCTTATTTTTTCGTCTAACGTGAAGTAATTTTATATCTAGAATTTATTCTCGAATGTTGTTAAATAAGTAATTACTGGGTAATTTTATTTCATCAAGTTTATTGATAGAAAAAGAATACTATATATTTATAAAGTCTACTTTATCTAATAAACCTTTTTAGAATTTATTGTGATTAATTAAAAGTTGAATAAATAAAATTTATAAATATAAAAAGATTTTATTAGAGAGAGAAAATTAATCAAATTTGGTAATTTTGCTAATAATGTCTGATAAATTTTTTAAACTGCATTACTTTCTTTCTTAACTTTACTCTTTTTATAATTTTTTATAATTTGCAAAATAGGAATTTGCACAAAACATTTTGTAATTATTGACGCAGTATAATATTTCGCGATTATTCACACACGTGTGGAACATCTGTGATTAGATTCGTAAATTAATGGAAACCCACGCAAATTCGAGAAGTAATAGTATTTACGACAAACACTTTATTCCCAGTAATTTCACCCCCGCAGTAGCGATGGATTCGTGCAACATAACCGAGTCGTACTAATGAAATCGATTAATTGGAATTCGATATTATAAATATATATGTACATATATCCAAGCAGGTCTTTTGTATAGCGTATTGCACGAGTCGACTGATTTGCTTAATTAAAGTTAATTGTATCAAAACTACCTATGAAGTATAATCACAATCAAATGCAGTTGATAAATTGCGAGCGCGTGTAACTTGCTATGGCCTTTAACCTTTGCCACATTCACGCAAATGCATCCTGTATCTTGTAAACAAGAAATATCGAGTTTTCAGTAAACTTATCTCAGAACTATCAATTCGTTGATATACAAAAAGTTTTATATGGGAAATAATTATTTCTTTTCTCGATATACTATTTAGCTTTTCAAACTTTTTATCCATTTCATATTATTCTTTTTAAACTATTTGAGAAGATGATATAAATTGGAAAAGTATTCTTTTTTTATCGATTAAACATTTTATACATAAATGTTTTAAACACATTAAATAATGTTTTATGATACGTTTTATGATTTCTATTTTTCATTTATTATTCGATTTGTACAGATTTCTTAATTGCATCAATATTTCAAAATTAAATTTGGAGCATAAAATAAAATGTTATATAAACACATTAATGTCAGATTTGATTTTCCAGTTTTGATTAATTTTCAATTAATTAAATGTAGATCATAAATTTTGCAGAATTCGAAAAATGTTCAAAGTGCTTAATGTTTATATGTCACTGATAATAAATAAGAAATTATAACTCTTTTTAGGAATTTTTCATAATTTCGTAAATTTATTCTACATTCATGTGATGTTTGTTTTGTGCTCAATTCAAAAATTTTTGAACGCATATATTTGCTTAAGATTTGATCAATAATGAGCATCTAAAAATCTATCGATTGTTAGAAAAAAAGTTCCATTAAAATATAATATATTAGTTACGTAAAACCACCATGCTTTTAACTGAAAAATATTAAACGGTAATCCTACAGTTCTCGCCCTCGTAGTGATATCAACGCGAAACGAGAGAGATAACTTGTTGCACCTAGATATACTCCAAAGACTTCTCGAGTAACACTTTTGATTAGTCCGTGAAATTACCACGGGGTATCGTTACTTCCTTGCTCGTCCTTGTCCAACTTTGTTGTCTCGAACGAGCAAGCGGATTAGACGAGAAAAGTCCGCGACAAGTTCTTCTCTCGCACCCACGATACTCGTAACTTTGCGCGGATGAATTCTTGATTCAACCTTGCTATCTTTGCTACACGGAGATGCACTTCGTAAAATAAACAATTTTTCCTATAATATCTATCCTAGTTAAAGAAATCGAAAAACTGTAGGAATAAATTCGAAAACTTGGAGAAAATTTTACAAAGTAAATAATTTTCGTTTTTTATATCTTTTAATTATCAGTCGGATTTCTCTTAACCGACTATTTTTTTATTTTTTTAGATTTGAAAGTTGTGATCGACTTATCGAATTTGTATGCTATTATTCTAATTAGATTAACATTCTTGTTAATATAGAAAGAATATTTATCTCTTCTGTTTTTAGTTTTATACTTAAATGCTTAAATGTGTACTTGCGTATTTTTTTCTTCCTATTTTCTTGATCAAGAGAGTTTAATTAATAAATTAAGATTTACCGCGTGTTAATATAAATCTATTTTAATTCCATTCAAAATATTGTTAAAATTTTAATATTATTCTATCGTTCAAAAATACAATAGAATTTGAAAAACAAATAATTATTTCTTTCTCTAAGAAAAACGATAAAAGAAATATAAGACAATATTTACACATCTGATATTCGAAATATGATTATATCGACTTTGTTATCTGTATTTTTTTTAAATAGAATATGTACATTTCAAAAGATCATCATAAATTTCATAGGAATGATAATAAATTCTCATTATCTTTCATGTATAGATTCTTAAAATAATCTTTAATATTGTTTCTATCAAATCTAGATTATTAACTATTTTTATTAACTATTTCAGGCAATTAAAACAAATTTTGTTATTCATATTAGCTATGAATAATTTTAAATCGAAAAGGAAAAAAATACTCTTATTTTACATTTTGCATGGACGATTCTATTAGTTTTTTTTTTTTTATGTTATCTTATATTGGACGATTCCGTTCCACATCTGTGCGCGTAATTAAAAAATTTGTGAATTCAATGCAATCCAAACATTAGAAACAAACATTTACCTTTTTCAGATATCTTTGATGTTATTTGAAGTTTCTGGATGCTTCTTGATGCACTCACACTAACTTATTATTTGCAAATAACGCGACGCGACACGTAACAACCGTACAAACGACACTAAATTTTACACCATTGACACTCACTCATTCTTATGCAAAATAATGTAAAATGTACGTTAACATTCCGATAGATCGCCATCTATATCGATCAATATCGATTTTGAACTTATTAAAATAACTGTCTGTATATCATTCAACATTCCCGTCATATTATCGAAAATTCGAAATACACTCTTTCGAAAGACAGCGATCCGTTGAGGGGCGATCATGCATTCAATCGCGATTGAATAGATCAGTTGACACACTACACAAATCACCCGTACATTTCATAAGTTAGCACGCCGCGCGGGATCATGCTCGAACGACGTGAACTAACGGTCAACCATCATGGACGATACGCGAGCGTCGAATATTGCTCATTTCGATGATCCGTCCTGGCAGTCGCTCGATGCTGCTCGGTGCTTCTCGAAACTCAAAACATTGAATAACACTCGCGATACTCGGAGCAAATGTCGCGAAATACGCAAGACATGCGTATTAGATACTGCGTCCTACCAAGGATCTACCGAGCATAACTACAATTCGACAAACATCGATTACGAATAATGATTGACGTTAATGGCACTCGTGTAGGTTGAATTAAGGCCAAAACACTAGATTTAGCACTTCTGATACGACACTCCCGATTCATACACAACCTTTTCACCCGAAGCGACTAAAGAACGCGCAAGCACGATACGATTAAACTTCATCCACGTATTACCGTCGACGGTGCAACACGAACTGTTACACGTCACAAAACATGATCGCGTTCACTTCTTTCAAAATGGTGGAAAATTTCAAAGACATCTTAACGAAACAAGCGTCCCCTTCCAATAGATAACACTTCGAATAAACCAATAAAATACTTAGGATGCGTTCAAAAACTACACTCTAGGGCTGTGTTCCGAAATACACTGCCAGTACTGAAAAGCTGCAGTTTACGTAACGTATATTATAGATTTTCAGTACTGGCAGTGAATTTCGGAACGCAGCCTAGGTGACAATCTTATCTATTGTTTATACGTAGCGTAGTTTTTGAACGCATCCCTTGACTATAAATTTAGAACACTCACTTTACAATCTGATTTTTATTTTCACATTTGTACTTGTTATCGATACACGAATGATACGAGCAAAAAATTAAGACTGCATATAACAAGTTTAACTATAGGATGTTAACTGTAATTTCCAAGATGTAAGTCTAATTGTAAACGATTGTGTGGTTAAGTTTAGTCCGACGAAATAAAGGTTATATCTGAAAGCTAAGTAATGTATGTAACAAAAATGACGGTTAAAAAACGTATTAAATTGTGCAACAACATTCCTCAATTATTGATACTACTATATATATTCTACTACTATTTGAATTAGTCAGCGTTAAAAGATATGACCTATGCACGAATGATAACCCTGATTAAGCAATATCACAATGTTACTACACACTTATAGCATCAAAACAAAGTGCTCTGTGTAAAAGGACACAATTTCATAAATTTAACTTTTTTAATTAAAAAGGAAACTGTTTTACTCAGCATTATGTAATTTCTTTACAGGAAATATATTAAATACTATAAATGTTATTTTATATAATACAAATTGTCATAACTGTCTTCATAGATAGATGGAATATTTATCAAAGGGAAAAAATTTATAGATTTTGGATTTTTATTTTTTTATTGAGCAGAATTCCTCAGATTATAGATTGATGAATTGATTGATCACACAAATTATGAGATTGATTTGCCTACAGGTGCAAAGGCTTTTTCAAGAGGACTGTACAAAATAGGAGAGTGTATACGTGCGTGGCAGAAGGTGGTTGCGAAATCACAAAAGCACAGAGGAATAGGTGTCAGTACTGCCGATTTAAGAAATGTATCGAACAGGGTATGGTCTTGCAGGCAGTTCGGGAAGACCGGATGCCTGGAGGAAGAAATTCTGGTGCAGTGTACAATCTTTACAAGGTATCTAGTTTCAACAATAATGAATCATTTGTGACAAAACGTTTAAAAATGTACGCTTGTTACACATCTTGTAAACGACATTTATGCTGTATTTGTATATTTTTGTAATTGTTTGCTAAAGTTATTGAGTCAATTTGTTTTATTGAATTGATCTTTGCAAGTCGAAGAAGTGACATCTAAAAACATCTAACTGATTAATAACTGAAATATTAGTTTTAATTAATGAGTGAAAAAAACCTGTTAATTTTCATTACAGGTAAAGTACAAGAAACACAAAAAGAGCAACAAAGCTGGGGTCGGCGGCGGCATGGGTGGCAGCGGTAACGTCGGTGGTGTAAATGGCTCAGGATCTTTGGTGGGTACCAAGGGTACCATGGGTACGACGATGTTAGATAAACATATGGCCGCAGCCGCCGCCGCCCACCATAGCCAACAACAGCAGCAACACGCTCAGTTGGCGGGTAGCTTTCTTCACCATCAGAAAATTTCATCAGGCGATCCTCTCAACTCGCCGCCTACCCCTAGCCATCCGAGCCATCCAGCTCACTCGGGCCACCTCGTCAATGGGACGATCCTAAAGACGGCGCTCACCAATCCCTCCGAAGTGAGTATCTTCCATCTTTACTACTCCAAAGTACATAAATTTTTAAAGTCTTTTGAAGTGGAACTACATTTTTAATGCATGGTCAATTTCGATTAGTTCGAATAAAGAAGAAAACACAAAGTCATATGACAAAAGTGCAATCGGTCTTTTTCTTGTCAAAATCTTGGAACAATTCTTTTATTGAACATTACGTATCTTTGAAAATTCTAAAATTCATTATCTGGAAAATAATGAAATTTACTTGATTTCGTTAATTTAATATACAAAATTCTAATTTTAAAGAAAAAGTTTTATTAAATTACTCAAAAAACTTGTTAAAATTAAAATTACAGTTATGCGCGGAATTGCATAAATAAATGCATTGCTAAATAAGAATTTCAACGCGCTCACTTTGAACAATTTATCGCTCACCGAAATTGAACATGTGCAAATTTATCTTGAGCGTGAGAAGTTCGCCAAAGCGGTTCGCACGATTCTTCTCGCTTACTTCCGCGTGCCTCACGAAACAGAATCGCCTGTCAAAGAACTAGTTTCATTGCTACAGAATGCATAACGGCTTTTACTCATTTCCCCTAATTATTCAAGCGTTATGCAAGGCGATATCGTCGTCGTCGTCGGCGCAATACAGATTAATCTCGGCCGCGAGATGTGCATTACCTACCAGCGATCTGCGTGAGATATCCGCGGAAACTTTCTAAAAGTCGGTCCGATCGAATCGCACGATTATGCGACCTGAAAGTCCGCCGTCATCAATCCGCGTGCGAGAAGTGCGAGAATTCTGTGTTTACCTTTTCTTGTTCGTGCGATCGACGAGACATCACATATAGATCAATGTCCTCGCGCGGCTTCAACCGAAGAATCTTTACTTGTTTGCTGCCGCCAGCAATTTACGTGATTTATATGACATAGCCCTGGTTAGAAATCGAGCGTGGGTCAACAAAAGTTGACTCCTCCATCGTCAGCAAGAGAATCCAGTGCTCTGAGATGAGAACGTCCCGCAGGCATCTTCGCGCTTTCACTTTCGAAACAGCTGCACACGTCGGCGGTGATGCGATGCAAGATTGCTCGAAATCTTTCCCGCGACGATGATTTTTCATTCCAGTGCTCTCAAATAATGTCTTGAATCTCTCACATTTCTTTTTTAAAATAATTTTTCGATTGACTGACATATCGCTTGTTAACCAAAATTCAATATTATTTTTCTTTCATAGTTTCTTAATATTAAATATCTTTATAACTATATTAAATTAACTTCTTGTTCTGATTCGGTTAAAAATAAAATAAGATTTCTTTTATCTATTTACTTATCTATTTATGATAACGATTTGTGGAATTTTGAAGATATTATGTTATTGATAAACTAAATTCTTGTAGTAGAAGCGTATATGCATTCGATCGATACTATCGATCCGTATTCGATGTTGATAAATCTTGGAAAAAAATAGAATTCAAACTATTTTGATGAAGTCAGAATTACATAATCGATATTTATAAGTCTATGACGACGATAAATCTATTACGACCGCATACAGAAATCTTGAATTAATCTGCAGAGCATGTCGCACTTCATATTCTATGCACTTTTTCAAAAAGCAATGATTATACATATATTTCCTAATAAAGTATTAAGAACTCAATAGTCTTACACTAGTTTTATCTTAGAATAATTAGAAAATATACAACTAATGTCACAGAAATACCGATAAATTCAAGTAATAGCTGGTCAAGATAAAAAATATATATATTTGTTATCGAGAAAAAAATAATTTGAGCAAAATTAAACAATTATTCAGCTGTAACGCATATAATTTGAAATTAATATTTAAAAAATATTTAGTACTAATTAACAGTTAATGTAATGTGTATGTGTTGTATATTTATTTTTTTTTAATTCAATAATTACTTATCAGTGATGCACTTTCACCTTGTCATTACAGTTTCGACATAGTTCAAATGATAAGATACATACAAAATAAGAATATATATATTGCATAAAGGATATTTTAACGTGATCGTTGAACAATAATGAAATGAGGCAAATAGCGAATTCGGCGTGTCGGTTTTCTCGCGCCGATCCTGGAATGAATGAACTCCCCGTTGCAATTTCACTTTCTTACAACTCGACTTGCGCAAGTCTCAAGGTTTCGCACATTGCGAAAGCCGATAGATAGAACGAGCGAGTAACCTATTCGCGAGAATCAATCTATCGTCGTCATCATGTCTCACGCTTTTTTGTGTCCTGCACTCTTTGCATAGTGCGAGATCTTTGAAAATCATGAATCTTTGCAAAATAATGTCTATACTACTTAAGGTAGTTAATGATTTCTCAATTATTCGAGATTTATTTGAAACTTTAAGAAGTAAATGTATACAATATCAGAGAGGCATTATCTGAAATTTTTTTAGAATTTTTTACTACACAGTTATAGAAATATCTTTTATTTAACATGCCATTTATTCAATGGTTTTCATAGGCTAATCAAATAAAAATCAGATAACTTTGTTTAATTAGGAAAACTACTTTCGAAGTATTTACAAAAAATTCAATATAATTAGATAAATATGTTATAAGAACCATATTTAAATTTCACGAACCACGTTATTGAATAATTTTCGTGACAAAAATGACATAATTTAATATCATGCGTGGAGAGCAGAAAGACAACAGCATTTGCATGTAGAAGATACAGTCAAACAAAAACTGTTTTGTTTGCTATTTTCTCTCACATTTTCTATAATGGTATACATGTAACTCTATTTACTTTCTATATTATTGTGCAATGATTGTACCGTTGAAACTACCTTAATTTCAAACAAATGATACGATCAACCTTCTCGGACGAAAAGTATTCGGCAAAATATACATATATATAGTAATTTCGAAAATAATTGCTTAAAACGAAATTAGAGCTTTTTCTCACAATATTATTTATGTAAAAAAATTGCAGTAACAGCATCTTAACTTTTTCAAGTGGACAATCGGCGAGAGTAATATACGCAATTACGTTCTGGATCAGATGAGCAAAGGAGGGAATGCCGCGAAATCGCTTAAATGGCCTGGTAGAGGCCATTGCCAAAAGTGAAACCGATGCTGCCAAAACCGGATAAATATTGTCGACAGTGCTCCACTAAGGAGGTCACTTTCGAGTCGTGTTTCGAGTCATCGTACGTGAGATGCATAACGAGACAAACACACTCATCTCCGCAGTAGGAACTCTGTGAAAGATAAAAAGTCACAAAGACGGGATCACTTTCTTCGGGAAGAGAGATATTCGGCGTTTTCGGTTGCGAAAGTGACGTGAAAATAAATTATTTACGATCAATCAATTAATTCAACACGCGAAGCATCATGAAAGTTGACATTTATTATCGGAAGAAATTTCATATGAATTTACTGTTTTACGCAGAATCACTCTCTTTGAGTATTTTACAGTAATTGTGTAAAGTTTGAACATCTCTAAATATTTCTTACGAGCATTTTACCATTGCAACGATGCCAATCGTCAAAGATAGGTAGAAATGTAATTTATGTATTGCGCGTTGCTAGTTCAATTACATGAATGAGCTTCCGTTATTACGGGATATCTATATAGCGTGCGATACTAGATACTAATAGCGTATCCGATATGTCTTTATCATAACGAACGAATTATCGTCACACGTCAAACGTCATCTGTCATCGTCGTTGCGTGGAAATATCGCGGTGAACGACAACAGGCCGACGACGCAGGCAGGGATAATAGAAAATCAGCGGCAGCCGGTGCCAAGGACGGGCAGTTCTCTGGCGGTTTCGTAACTCGTGAAAGTCTGCACGGGGGACAGTGACCTCAGCCTCCCTCTTCCTCTCGCGCTTCCTCTCCCCCAACACCTCCTGTATATCTCCTCCCTCGTCTCCCCCGCATTACTCGTGCCCCTTCCTCGTGCCGAGCGCCTTCAACTGCGAACGCGTCCCACGGTTCTCCACGATGATCGCTTGTGCATTTAAAAGGACCTTAAAGCTATCTGACGAAGCAGCCAGCTTTCCCTGAAGTCAGCCAGAAACCGCGATGGCGGGCTCTCTCTTTCTTTCTCCCTACCACGTTCCTGTGCACTCCGCACCCGACCCCGAGGAAATCTTTCGAGGTCCGAAAGGTCAGTGAAAGGCTGGGCCTTATGTAGGAAGCTAACACGTGCCGAACTCGGATTGCGCGTACAAGAGGAATACCGGCTCGGTTGTAATCATTACTAAAGTCCACTTTTCCACATTGCGAAAAATTTTCAAGGTCACGTAGATGCAATCGAAAACCTCAGTGTAGGATACTTGACAAAAAATTGATTTAAAGCAATGATATATTGATGTGTTTATGTGTTAAGATATAGAACGATTTACGAGTTGTGATGTATCTTTTATATAATTCATAAAAAATACATCTTATGTGGATTTTATATATTAATGGGTCAAATGATATGTATTTCAGGTGGTGCATTTACGGCAAAGGCTAGACAATGCAGTGAGTAGTTCGAGGGATCGAGTTTTTCCTCTGGATGCAACGCTGACTATGATTCAAACCCTCATAGACTGCGATGAGTTCCAAGATATCGCCACATTGAGGGTATGTAAACTTTACTTTTCCTTTTATAATAAAGTATACGTAACTTTCTATAATTTTGGACAATATGTATATTAATATTTCTGGCAATATACAAATACCAAAATAAATTCTTTCATAACGAAACATTTTTCGGATAGAATACAAGCATAATCAACCCATTTAATTAGTTAAATAATTAATTTTCTTAATTGATGGTTTTTGTTTAAACATCCTTTAATTAAAGAGATAAAAATACACACAATATAACATAATAGTTAACTTTAATCTCGAACAAACTGTCACGCTCGAAGGCATAAATACTGCTTGCGTTACAGAACTTGGATGAGCTGCTGGACCATAATTCAGACTTAAGTGAAAAGCTGTGTCAGATAGGAGACAGCATAGTGTACAAGTTGGTGCAGTGGACCAAAAGGTTACCGTTTTACCTTGAGCTGCCGGTCGAAGTTCACACGAGGCTGCTCACTCACAAGTGGCATGAACTTCTTGTGCTGACCACCTCTGCTTACCAAGCGATGCACGGTCAGCATAGGCTAAATGTCGGTACCGATGGGACGAGTGCAGATTTTATGCAAGAAGTAATTAAATTATATACAATTTTAATATAAACTTTTATCGAAAATGTTTAACTTTTTTTTTTTTTTTTAACATTAAATGTAATCCAATTAGTGATATTTTTTGAACAAACCCAAATCCGTACTAATTCGCAATTTCTTTGCGATTAGGTAACGAACAACATGTATACGTTGCAAACGTGCCTAACCAGCATGATGGGTCGGCCGATAACCATGGACCAATTGCGGCAAGACGTAGGGCTCATGGTGGAAAAAATCACGTATGTCACATTAATGTTCAGGCGGGTGAGGCTACGGATGGAAGAGTACGTCTGCCTAAAAGTAATCACTATGCTCTCACAAGGTATGTACTTTCACTGAGTTAGCCGGTCCGCGTCTGTTATTATCGCGTTGTCTTTAATTCCCTTGATTATATGTTACGAACGATATTTAATAATATGAATATATCTTTTTCCCAACGCTACAATTGGAGACGTGAAAAGTAAGTCCAAAATACTTTCTCAAAGTGCCCGTGTATACGCATTTTTCCGCTCGTAGAATCAATGTAAATTTTTTCGTCGTATAAAATTCACATTTTCTTTTTTTAATGGATTATTATCGTTTAATGTATAAAAAATAATTTATAAAGAAAATTAAAAACTTGGAAACAATTAAAATAGAGAAATTCTCTCGTAATTATACAACAATTTGATGCTTTGAATTTTCTAAAAATGTATTGGATATCACACTCTTCACACGTTTAATTTCATCTCGTTTGTCTTCGTTAGCACGAGGAGGTACACTGGAATTAGAACAGATACAAGAACGATATATGAGCTGTCTGCGAAGTTTCGTCGAGCACAGCGCGCCTCAGCAACCGAGCCGATTTCATGATCTTCTCGTCAGATTGCCCGAAGTAAGTGTTTAAAAGAAATATATGAAACGTGACGAATTTTTAGGGCAAACTACTAATAGAATTTTTTTCATTTAGTTGGATGTAATTTTTTCTTTTATCGAATTTAATTCAAGTTTCTAAACACGTTTGATTGACTCTAGGAAACAACTATTCTTCATTACTTTGAGCAATAATAATTTTGATTTGAATTATATTTCTCGATGTAAAAAGTATCGTAAAACATCGTAAAATGATCTTTTTTAAATGGAATGCATTTGTTTATTATATTACAGGTACAATCGGCGGCGGCTTTACTACTCGAGAGTAAAATGTTCTACGTTCCTTTCCTATTAAATTCAGCAATTCAAAGATAGTAAATAAACAAAGTGACGATAAACGAAGCTGAATACCTATACACATACTATGCATATATTATAAATATATACACACAGAAAAGTAAAAGAACCGAACAAACAGACAACAAACGACAAGCGAACGGACAAATGAAGAAAAAAGAGCCCGATAAGAAAGAAAGGGGAATGGAGCCGAATGGAGAAAGGCTTTGTTTGTGTATGTATAATAAATATATAAAAGTATATATATATACACATATATATACATAGTATATGTATATATATATACATATAAATAATATAAATAATATAAATGTGTGTGTTCGTTGCGTTGTACAAACGAAGGAGGAACAGAAGGTGAGAAAGGAATCGAAACGAAAAGAAACGAAAAGAACCGTGGACGATAGAAAGTAACCACGTCGGGACAGCGAAAGAGGTAGGAATGGATAAGTGAGAAAGAGAAACGATTTATATAAAATATTAAAGAAAGAATATAAAAGTTAGAGAGCGAGAGAGCGTGAGCGAGAGAGGGAGAGAAAGGGAGGGAGAGAAAGAAAGCGCGCCACCTCGAGATGGGTAATCAATCGAGGAGGGAACTGAACTTTTTTATCGAAACTAAAAGACTATAATAATATATTTCTGTACGCAAACGTACCGCGCAACTACGTCATTGTGTGTTCACATTGCATAATCTGATCGATAAAATAAGACTCTCGTTACGTACCGCTCACCGTAGGCCACCTATTACTACTACTACTACTATTACCACTACTGTTACTATTACCACCACTTTCTACTACTACTGCTCCCGAAATTAAGGAGAAAAAAAATAAACAACAGCAGACATCTCACGATACGACTGACTGAAGGATGAATAGTCCGGATCGATCGGCCGACCGATGATCGACGACGCGTTATTGTCATCTCAGCTCGACATGGAATCATCTCACGAGCTACGATCAAATATATTAACACGCGTCCACGTACACACACACACGCGCGCGTGCGCGTGTATCATACATACACTGAACACACATATATCTTCTAAATGCCTGCCACAAACCTCGCCACGACGTATCGACGTGATCTTCTCCTCGCAATTGTCGTTCGCCATCATGCGCGAAATATTATGACGTGAGTAAAGGGTGTGATACTACCGCAATTATTAACCCTCTTCTCCCCGATACTACTGCACGTACACATCGTCGACAGGAGTCTGTTGTAAGTCTTCAGAATATCGATCACGTAAATCTATCCATGAAATGGAGCGATGAAAAGTGCAAAATGTCACGCCGGACTCGCGATTGTTTTCGGCGTGAAATTGTAGAACGGAAGCCGCGTGAAATCGAAGAGTAAAATATAGAAAGATTTATTGATCGATGTCCGGATAGCGAATGTAACCTGACCGCGAGAAGAGGAGCCACGAGAAAACAGAACTGTACGTAAAAACTTCGGTATACTCGGTGTCTTATCCGTACCTCACATCTGGATGCGAGTATTTATTAAGTACGTATTTTTCGTACGTATATGTTCTACGACGGTCATCAAGTCTTCATTATCATCGTCTTCGTCGTCGTCGTCGCCGCCGCCGCCGCCGTCATCGTCGTCGTCATTTAACACTCCGAAGCATGGTCCAAGCGCGCAACACTAAAGACTTTACTCTCTTGTAATATCGGTTCGTTAATTTCGACGCGACCTTTATTGTGCAAAATCATACGCATCAATCACCGGTCAATCGTTAAGGTTTTCTCACTTGCGATGCGCGTTCTTCGCACGGTCTTCGATCTTCCATTTGTGATTTTTGAAGATTGCGCAAATTTGCAGTCTCACTTGTAACGTAGAATATTTTCCACAAAGCAATTAAAGTTTAACTAAGATTTAAAGCAATCCATTAATGAACAAATATCAGTTAATTTTGAACATTAATATTGCTATAAACTCGATGTTGTTTTAACTGCTATGATTAGAAATATAAAAGTTTTTAAATGATTCGGCGATTAAATTCTAGTTGATTCTCTATTTAGTAATTTCTTCTTTTGTCATTTATAGATATCTTGTGCATAAATAGTGGTTAACATAAACGTAATAAACAGAATCAATGTCGGGACTATTTAAAAACAATGTGGTATTTTCTTTTTGTATTTTTCTTTTTATTAAATTACTATAAAAGTTAAAAAAAGAAAAATAATCGAATTATTCGTAGAACGCGCATTGTTTGTCTGATAATCGCAAGTAAAGTTACGAAGAGTGAAAAACTCATATTATTCTTGAAGCGATATTTTCATAAGATTACAATAAAAAAAAAGCGAAACATGTATATATGAAAATAAAACATGAGTGCTCGTATCTCATTTTTGCGAGGAAGTTTCACGAAATTTTGTTAAAAGCCACTATTTAAGGAACTATAAAGATCCTTGTATAAAAATCTCTTCTTTTTTATCAAATGAGATATATACTATTATCTATATATTATCTATATGCATGTGTACATGTATGTATCCGCGCAAACCGATTGTAATCAACTGCCTCGCGAAATTGGGATATCGATCGCTTCGGAATTGCCTCAATTATTTGTGGGAGCATCGTAAAATTACAGATAAGAAAAGAAAACCCGGTGACTGATGCCGCATTGACGCATCGTTCGTGTCTTGGAAGATATCGCTCCCTGTATACGCATTATAACAATTATTCCGCACACGTTCTGTCAACGTGATTGTTTCATCTTGCCTCTCCATAGAAGATATCGTTAATATGCGCTAATTACCTAATAAGCTCGTGGTCACGAGAACGACCTGGAAGATTCGACATGTTTCGTCTTCTAAGAACGTGTTAATTGCATTTTCCGTTTTTTTTTTTTTTGTTTTTTTCAAATCTCATACAAACCCTAGAATACTCCCGAAGATCGATTTCTCCCGTTACTTAATTTTAATTGTAGTTTAATTGCTCATTTTTTGACTTTTTTCGAAGATAGAATTTTACAAGAGACGAAGCAAACGATTGAAATATGCTTATAATTTATCGGCGGTGAAGTTGGTTTAAGTTGATACGGTAACAATTAACATTAAATTTGAACCTTTTTCTTATAATTATGAATCAGAAACTGTAGAAAGTTGACTTATTGATCAGAGTATACAAGTATACACTACAGTGTGGCATAAGCTTATGATTATCCCTACAAATCTATATTAGAATTCTCTTCAGAATTGTTATTAACATTAATATATGAAGCTTTATTAGTAATATCAAGTCGATATATAAATGTATAGTTGATGGTAACTACTGTATGTACAAATTATAAAAATAACATTATGACATTACATTCATTTCGATAAGCCAACTTCGCGAGTCTCGATTCATAATCATTTCCACAGATATTAATTTTAACAATTGAAATTAATTTCAAGTTTCCTATTGTACGTATTTTTTTTCTTTCACCGGCGAGTCTTCAATCGGACCCGTGGCCGCGGGCCGCACGTTCCAAAAATCAACATGAACTATAACACGGACCTTAGGCCTACTAGCCTAGGGATACTTGTCCATACTATAAGACTTAACTAAACGATGGGATACTTCATACAGTAAACGTTGTATATTATTTGACGTTAAGAAACATTAGGGGTAACGGTTCCTGTATTTCCCGGACATCATCGTACGTTCGCTTTTATGTTCAATTAGACAAGATTGCTCATGCGTGGTGAACGTTGTTAAAAAAAAAGAGAAAGAAACAAAAAGAATTAGGAAGATTGATTGAAAATTTGTGATCATTGGCGGACAAAATGAAAAGCCGATTCTGCAATTTAGATTGATTTGATTGCTTTTTAGTTAACTTTAATGAAATCGGATACGCTTAAATTGAACGCAATTCTAGTACTGCATGTTCTTTTGGTTGAAAAACCCGTATAGATCTCATACTAGTAGTAAATATTCTAACGGTAGAAGAATAGATCTGTTTTTTTTAGCTGCACTTTTCTGTTTGTCGTTGTCCTTAGAATATTCCTTCTTACTTTTATCTCCTTTTCCATTACTTTTCTCTAAGATTCTACGCACAATAGAAAAAAAATTAGAAATAGGAATAAATATTTTTAACATATAACTATTTTTATATAAATTTATAAAGTAAGCCGATTTCATACACGAAGCATCAATTTTTCTGTAAACGAAATTTATCAAATATTAAGCAATTGTTTTAAATATTTAATTTCTATTTTACATTAAATATTCCATTTTCAACATTTACTTCTATTGCTAATATTTTCTCTATTATGCGCAGGGCCGAAGAAATTTTTTGTGTCACGTCTTATTTATTGATATACATATGAGTGGCAGAGTGTTATCGTCAATCGCGAGAGAAAAGAGTTGTGAGACACAGCTTCAAGTTCGATTATTCTATGTAAATTATAAATATCTATATATACATATATATATGCATTTTTATATAGATGTTTATAATATTTATATTGCAGTATTTTTCAGGACTGTCTCTACTCCTTTCGTCTATTCTTCTGATTTTTGTAATTATTCTGTAAATTAATCTCATTATTCAATAATTTCGATGATTAAGAATGTGAAGGGAATTTGGCAAATTAAACTTTCAGGATAAACGAGATGAAATGAGTTTCTCTTCAGGCAATTTTAATAGCTATGATTAGAAGTTAAAGTTTAATTTAATATCTAGTTAGTAGTTAATTTTGAAAATTTAGTCTCGAAAGTACTTAATTCTGAAAATCAAATAGTTTTAAATGCAAGAAAAGTGTAAATATAATAAAACAGAATGTTGTGTAAAGCATTCCTTTAGTGAGCAATACTCCTTTAAAAATATAGTTAAAAGGTCGAAGGACAAAAGGAGTAATAATCGTGCCGGGACATTTTGTACATATATTTTGTAAAAGAAAAGAAAAGTGCACCGATGTCTGGGAGTACAGCAACTGCTTACGGGAGAGCTAAAGCGTTGGATCAGCAAGACTTAGGGCATTATATTACAAAGAGTATTATTATGCCCAACCTTTTAATATTTAAGTGCGAGTGAGAGTCTATCGAGCAAAAGAAAGAAAGAAAGATAGAGAAAAAGAAATCTAATAAAAAAGAAAAAAAACAAAAAAAAACGGCAAAAACCAGTACGCGCCTCTCGTTTGTGGGTTCAACTTTGTGTACATATTAGGTCTGTTTTTTATAGCTGAACTGGCTGCACTAGTTCAGAGTTTATCTTTCTCCTTCCAATGTGGAGGGAAAAAGATAAACTCTGAACTAGTACAGCCAGTTCAACTATAAAGAACAGACCTATTGTATGTACGAAACGTTTAATAATAACTCTGTTGAAAGTACTAGTCCTGTCTTTGTATAATTCCGTATTGAATATCTGTGCTCTCTCGCGAAGATTGCAAGCGACGTCGTCGTCGTATTTCGCCAAATTACGAATAAGTGAACGAACGTGTCCGCAATAGTTTTTTTTTTTCACATTCTGTGTGTTCCATTGTCTCGCATTTTCACCGGCATGTAGGATACGAATTTAACACGCACGTTATTGCAATATCTCTTCCATGAGATCATTTGAATTGCTCAATGTTAAAAAAAAAAGAAAAAAAAGAAACGTAACTTCCCAAATATATTTTTTCTACGATCTATTTCGAGTATTTGTAGCTAAAATTAAAATAAAACTTAAAAAATTATTTGATTCGAATTTTAATGAAAAAAAAAATTGTTTCACTTCTAAATGAAGCGAATCTCTATTTTGATTTCGCGAAGATTGTATTCGTGATAAAATTATTCCTTTAACATTGATCAATTTGCTACAACCATAACTGTAATAAACACTGTGAAAACATCCATGGAATTGCTTAATCAGATCTGTCGCTATTTAAGCACAGATCGCATCAGTCTTGGTGCTACACAACCCTAGTGCCTTGTTGCATTTAATTAATTTGCCGGTGCTGAAGTTTTTATAATTAGCGTAAAACTTGATTTTACTCAACAGTTACGTCTATTAGCATAATTTCTTTTTTAATTTTTCACGCCTCACTTTCGTACGAGAACTATGCATATTGCGTTCACGTTCCTTCGCTTCCTTTCGATCGGAATCGGCGCGCGTCTCTTACTGTCGATTACATTGAAAAGGGCACAAAAAGAAATGCAAACGTTTAACCCAGAAACGACGGTCAGGAAGAGAAGCACGAAGCGCCGGATTGACTAGGAGAAGTGGGAGAGAGATACTTTTTCAATGAGTGAGTCAAAAGTTACCAGTTTCTACCTACCTACCTACGTTTAGGAGGAAGCACGTTTTTATTATCTCGTTTACCTTCGATTATATTCCTTTTGTAACTGAGATTTCGGCGCCACCGCGTGAACCGTCGCTTTGTCAGGAACCGAATGTCGTCCTTTGTGATGTCGAAAGTGTCTTGTTGATATCCATTTTGCGGTAAATTTCCTCGATATAGTGTGTACTGAGAGATATATAAAATGTACTTTTCGATTTCATGAGTTTTCATCCGCGGCGAAAAGCGTAGTGATAAAAATCATTTATCAGTCAAATGATAAAAATTGTTGGTGCAATGTTCTACTTTCTGTTAACAGAATGTCCTACGCATTTCGGAGCAAATACTTTGCGATATTTTGTATATAGATTTCATTATAGATACGCGCGATACGCGCGCGCACGAGTATATCTAACGGTTGATGAAGATTGCAGATTTCGATTTCACTGATAAAATCATTTCATTCGACGTACTTATTAATATCGGCTGATTGTGATATCAATCAAATTCCTATAATATAAAAAGAAATTACGTTCAACAAGAGTGAACTCATTTATTGCATTTGTTACTATTAGAATTCCATTACGAAATTGTGATTTCTTATATTTCAGAATGTAATGCAAATTACATAATAAGTCGTGATACATTTTATAAAGTTAATGAAATTATTAACGGATGAGTAGACGCGTGTGTGCAAAAAGTATTTGTAATTTCATTAGAGCAAGCAAGCACAATACGTGATATAATTCGACTCGGTCAAAGGCTTTCGGTTCCGAACAAAACAGACAGAATTGCACGCGTGGCGTGTGAACCCTCTTGTATTTTTATGAATAAATAAGATATTTAAAGAAGAAAAAAAAAAAGTAAATCTGAAGTCTGTTTGGAGATGCCTTTCATAGGGATTATAAATGTAGATAATATATTATACATAATGAACATAAATACACTATATTATTATATATAAATATATATATATATATATATAAATAGTAAGAAGTAAATAGAATTATTATATATATATATGATGAAAATAATATTATTACGAGTAAATAAACTGATTAAAGATTAATAAAAAAAAATTTACGCGTCATTTATTCACGTATCGTACCAACTCCCTCCTACACATGCCTATCCTCTTTGCAATGATTTGTACTTGTTCTCGCTATCGCGAGAGACTAAACACACATACCGGGAGTATCATTGATAATGCAATCATGTGCGACTTTCGCGCGACTTTTTATTACAGACGTTCTTCATTACATTAACATAACAAAGTCTATACTTTCAAGGTACATGATGATCGTTTTAAAATGATGTCTACCTGTGAGATCTTTAAGGATTATGCGCAGTGTTCAAGCTCCCGCACGGAGCACATTAAGCTAAATTAGTCTTCGTTATTTTATTTATCTTGCAAATTGTCTTTATTTGTTCTCTCTCTCGCGAGCTTACCGATTATTGACATCGAGTCGCCGCAAGCGCTTGGACACTTCGATAAAATTAAAGCGATCACAGACAGAGGCATTTCGGAAGGCAATACGCCGCGAACACCCCGATAGTAGATACAGAGGCTAATACTTTTTTTTTAGGATTTCTATGATACCCGTACCGCACGCGTAGGGCGTTCCCGTCGTTGCGACTCCGTTTCGCGAACTCGGAGGCTGCAAATGTAGCGAGTCGAGTTTGTAACGCAAACTCCGTGTCTCGATTCGTTCTCTCGGGGTGCGCTCTCTATCTAAATATAATATATTATTCGTGTAAAATATTGCGTATAATTGTACGTATATTATAATAAAAAAATGTACAAATAGATATCTCGCGTGATGTAAAATGTAAGAACGGATCTAAAAGGTAGCAAAATCGTAAAACGTAAGTATATCGTAGAAAAGTTTGGTGAGATAGGAAAGATTTGTTTTCGAGTCAACGGCGAAAAGTTTTGGCGAGATAGAATAAAAAAGAGCGGGTAAAAATTTCCACGTACGCGTCCTCGTTTAAGCTCTGGTATTTGTATGATTCTTCGTCCTCTTATGTTAGTTCGTCTATGATATTATCTGTCAGTAAGAAAGCATTTATACTTCTAGTAGACCGTCGTGTTAGTTCTGAAGGCACTGTTCAAAAGTTTATTACATTTCTTGAAATAACGGGTCTTCACAAAACCTCTTCGAATGATGTGACAGGGAGAATCGTTATAAACATCGACATGATCATTGCACACGCCTCCTTCGATCTATATCACAAAATTCAAAATAGAGTAGTCTCAACTTGACAACCAGTGCCACAATGCCAATGCCGTATTTGTCGGGTCTGTGATCGATTAGGAATTATCGTGAGCTAGCAGAAATCGATGGTCAGAATTCAGGCTTATGATACGCAATGGCCGGTGCATTCCGTTAATTATGTCATATCGATATCGTATCATTATATTACACAAACGCTTATTAATTTAGAGGCACATTGCTAAGGGTCTCGGTTTTTTTTCCTTTTAAAGTTGCTCCCTACATTAATGAACTTATGACAATTAGCTAATTACGATTATTTACGACAGCAATTTGGCATACAATATTGGAAACTGTACAAAGATTCGGAGAATACAGTATTTGAAAATATTGCTTTGTACATATATTTATATATATATATATAGAGAAAGAGAGAGGAAGGGGGTGGGGGTGGGGATGCGGCGAACAAACAATGACCGTTTTTTTAAGAAATAATATCGATGTGTATCAAGATGCTT